GGAGTGTAATCTGCCATGAAACATTAGAACCTCGGAGGCAGGTTTTATCGTCTCAAGCTGTCCACGCCGGTTGCGGTGGCGTCGCGATGATGAGCAACGCGGCCGATGTTTTCTATAGTTTAATGTGTTATTTTTACCAATATGGCGACCGAAGGGCGGCGCCTTTGATCCGCCATCAAAGGCGCAGTCACAAACGGGCCGACGCGCGGCGACATAAAATGACGCTTGTGCAAACATAATAAACACGGGTCCCGTAAAAAGGGGCACTATTCATAGATCCGATCGATCGATCCCGCTATCGATGGCGGATGAGGATGTCATTTGCCTTGCAGCGTTTACACTGCAATCCCCTCTTTGAATTTAAGTTCGCTCATCGGGATTAGTAAATTTCGAAAGTTCGAATCGTGAATAACCCTCATATTTTCTCTTTAGAATGCCACGTAAATCTCAATGGGATTAAACTTAAGAATTCATACAGCCAGTGTTAACTAGCGAGAATATGTCATTAAGCACAGACAAGAGCGAGGTGGGGTTGCGCTATAATGAATAAAAACTCCACAGTGCAACTATCCCGGTATCGTGTCCATTACATTAATTACTTATTAATTCGCCGGGGACGCAATTATCAATTGCATGCCGAGATGGAATTAAACGTCGTAAAAATAACTTGTGCGCGACCTAACAAGTTGTGTTGCCAGCGCTTGTGAGATGTATTTGCTTACTGCATGCTGCTTCGTATTTGCTTGTTAGGAGCTAGATTGAGATTGTTAACAACGTTATTGTTATTCTTCATTATAATAATATTAGTACTGTTGCACTAATTGGCTATCAAATATAACTATTGGCCAATATCACTATTGGCTTTCAAATCTTACCCAAATAATTCAAAATTATTGTCTGGTATTTTATTAAAGCGACACCCTCTCATGATGGACTCAAAAGGACTGCTCCTTGGGGCATTACGAAAAACATTTTAACTTTTTTTATGTAATTCACTACAGTTGCGTTATTTCTTTAAATGATTGAAGATTAATCATAACTATTGTGATGACTAAATTAAAAATACCAATAGCAATGATGCTGTAAGTACTTTCCATTCATCGTTTAGTAAAGTCCTAACCGTCCCAACTCGGAAACGTTAGAACTGTGAATGGCGTTCAAGAGCATACGAACGTAAAGGCGACGTCTCACTGCGGCGTAATCCTTTAAAGAGTTATAAACAGTCGTATCGTAAACGTCCAGCAAGGAAGTGGGCCGACAAACAAAACAGTTCGCGTGATTGAGCGCTCTCCTCCCGGCCCGGACACACTCGGCCTGTGAAAACAAGTTCAAACGGTCCGAGCCGAGTCTAATTGAGCGGCGAGGTGTTACTTTTTATGGAGCACTTTTTAAAACGTCCGCAAAGCCGCGACCCATCGGACCTTCGGGTGGCCATAATGCCGATCGGGCGGAATCGCAATTGACACGGGCACATGTCATAATATCCAGCGAAGTGACGAAATAATTTGAGAATGTTGCAATTTACGGTAAGTTTTTTTAAACGTAACAAATGGTTTTGTATGTGTAGACGTTTACACGTGGAGGAGTCAAAAGAATATGTGTGGTTCGTGAGAATTTATAGCGGCTGCTTACCTCCTCATAGAAAACCAGCGTAAAGTGGAAGTATGACAAATACTTTTGCGTTTCGTCTGGTGAGTGAGGTAGCCGGAGCCCAATTTTCAAAAGGTTGTCAACGCATCTGTAACCCTCGAGTGTGGCAGATGTATATGGGCGCCGGTATTCACTTACCATCAGGTGAACCGTCTGCTCGTTTGACAACTTTTCGCATAAAAAAAAACAGAACTAGAGAACAGACCGGTACTGAATTCAATCATTCCAACCAACGATAGAAAGTAACAACGTAGTTGTACCTTATTACCAAATTTGTCTGCGTTGATGAACGTTTAGGCAAAGTATTTTGTGAAAATATTACTGTTGTTAAAGTAATCTTGAGAGAGTTCAATATTACCATATAGACTTTAACAGACAGTTCACCTGCTGTTCCTTTCCTTGTACAAAAAAGGTCTTAATGACAACTAAGTTATACCCAACCTGATATCTCGAACGATATCGATGTCAAATCTCGAAACATCAATTAACGCGATCCGTTTATCGCGCAATCGATAACTTTATTTATATTTCCCACTGATGAGGCAGGAAGCGGTTGGAAAAAAGCTAAAAGAGAAAAAAAAATCCAAAGCGACGTTTAGTGGTTCTCAGGGAGCGATTTCTGTATCAATACACTGTGCACACACGGGGGGACCGCTAAATTCCGTATCTGGAACCGTTTAGCGGGTAGATGTCAGAAATTTGTGGGATATTGTCGTGTCGATGCCGGTAAAAAACCCTCGGCGATGCCTCCCCGCACCTTTACTCGGTATCCGTGGGTCGGATTGTTTGCCGCGGAAGCGTTAGCCTACTCCATTGGAAAGTAGCTCGGTTATGGGGAACTGGTCACCAATAGGCGACAGTTTGCTTAAGCGTCCGCAGTTTGGAGGTATATTTGTTAGCATTCACATCCACCTCGGGTCTTCGATGAAATCGACGTAGCATGTTTGTCCGTATATTTTGAAAATGGACTATTTTTTTTTATGGTAAAAAGAGGCAAACGAGCAAGCGAGTCACCTGATGGTAAACGATCACCGCCGCCCATAGACACTTACAACATCGGTTGAGTCACAATTGCGTTGCAGGCCTATAAGTTAGGAGCATATTTAAAGCAAAGGGACTTCGATGAAATCGAAGCATGTTTGTCCGGATATTTTGTAAATGTACTCACTGTACTATTTCGCGGGAAAATCTATGGTAATTCTAAATGACTCTCACGGACATCTGTCATAATATATGAGAAGGGGATATGAAAAACATTGAGCAAATGAAAATATTAATACGTAAACGTTTAACGACGTTTGTCATGACTAAGAAATTGTTTACTGTCCATCGATGTCACTAAGGATTAATGACTATCACGCTCTTAATTATGAGCTAAGGATGCTCAATTCGTTAAGGATGATGTTTACCCGAATGACTGGGGAAAAGCTTTGTGCATGTCAACACGCCTAGCGATTCCTATCACGGTATTAATTAATATCGACGGTGTTCTTATTGTTCCGAGAGACGGGGCGCCTGCCCCCTTATCAGTCAAAGGTAGGGTCGGCAAACACAGCGCACGGCACACATCGCTCGTTTGCTCTTTATGATGACACTGTGCAAAGATTGCTTAGATTGTTTTGAAATCGGCGTCCTCGCGCGGGCGCATGAACTTCAACGCTAGTATCCATGCCGCTGGTAGAAACGCACTACACTACTGATACAAACACGTAACATAGTATGTTTGTTTATTTACTCATTCCTGAGGTTGCAATGGTTGAGACTACCGACTTTAATATGTAAGAAATTACTTCAATTCTAACACCGCAGGGGCGAGGCCGCATTAAAAGATAATTAATTATTTAAGACCGAAGGAGGTATTAGATATCTGCATGTATAATCTAAAATCTATCAAATCTTTAAAACTGTTAAGGTATAATTAAAGTTAGGTAGGTTTAGAGTTGCTCAGATTGCTTTCGACAAACAATCTAGAATCGTGAATCACTCGGTAATAAATCTAAACTAAAAGCAATTTTTCCCCGATATTAACTAGCACTTGTAAAAGTGACACCCTACGAAGTGATTTCAGGAGCGAACGGCAAGTAAATATGGAAATACAAAGCAAATACGACACCACAACGCAGTGTAACGGACGAAATGAATCACCGATCTGTGCTCTCGTCCAATAAGACTGCAGCAGGTTCTCCGACCACATTCAAGGCCCGGTTGGGCAACACAAACGCCTGTAATCTACGTCAAACAGAGGCGGGGTGAACGGCACGATAGCGCTCTTATCAAGTTTACGAACGCGTCTGATCGCCTCCGAGCTAGAACTTGCGACGCATGGAAGCCCGCATAGCTTTTCCTAAGTCTTCAGCTGGCGCTGAAAAAGTATGTGTGAGCGATTAGCGTGGCATTTGAAGTCAATTCGAGCCCATATCGTTTACACGCAAGTGATGATGACGAAACCAAAAGATTCGGTTGCGATTTTGAATACATGAAGTAATAATTATAGTTATTACTTCATGTATGTCATTATATATATATATATATATATATATATATATATATATATATATATATATATATATATATATATATATGTATGTCACATAGACAGGAATTAAAGGGTGTAATGCTAACAATGAATATTACCCTACTCCACTATTTTTTTTAAGTCAGCAAGTGTTAACCGTAATAAACCCGTCGTGTTTATATAACGTTATTGGAATTTCATCAGTTGAGAATATTTTATGTCACTTAAATAGGAGATGGCAGTTATTCTATCACAAGATCTTTATATCTGTTTGAATCATGGTAATGTGCATTAGGAATACGTGACATCCTGCCCTATCGTTCAGAATCGTCTTAATAACGTCGAGCTGAATACTAGCAATGCCAATACCGTCTGGCAGATGATAGTTTAACGAGCACAATGGCAGTAATATCGTCGGAGATAAGAATGCAGGGGCGGCGCTAAATTCCACCAGCTCTGAACCTAGACTTAGACTAATATTCATTCCAATATCGAAGTTTCTGCGCACGCTATAGTCTGAAAAATCTGGCTTTAATTTTCTAGGTCCTCTGATACTAATTTTCGTAGATTTAACCTAAGTTGTGCATATTAGTCATTTCTATGATTAAGAGGACTCATCCTTAAGAGGTCGCGTCTCGCTCAAATTTCACGAAAGATAAAAGTGAAAATACTTGACGCCGTTCTTATTTAACGTCGTAAACTTCCCTCAACGAGCCGGGTTATTAATGCAAAAGGAAGCAGTTACATCGCATTATAGCGGGAGTGGCACATCGTAGCGATTTTTGCTTTTCTTGTTCTATATGAAAATATTGGTCCTTCGAGCCGGATGCTTTACCTGATCTCGCGCTTAATGTCGTCGTAATCGCGCTGCGTGTCGAGGCGCGCCTCCAAACGGGCGATGTGCTGTTTCTTCTCGTCCAAGCGCTCCTCGAGCCTTTGCAGCTGTTGTGCGTGCGCTTCCTGCAGCGCTGAAAGCGACGCCTGCAAGCGGCGTACGTCCTCCACTAGTTGCGCGATCTGTAAAAGAGGTGAACGGTTAGCGTGTGTAAAGTACACGAACAATATGGGATTTAAGAACTTTTGTTGTGTTTAGATAACATTCTAAGCTTGCGATGTTTGGGACATACTTCGATTGTCGTGATGTGACTCAATGAATATAGTTTAAAAAAAAACTCGCAAGTCTATAAACTGTAATGGAAATGACTCAGGTATTAGTGATAAAATTCTGTAATACAACATTAAATTAAATTATATAACTTCCATTAGTCGTCTTACATGACGTAATATGTTACATTTTCACCTGAAACTAATAACCTGGGAAAGTTGTTTCTTTCAGGTATACATAAGTTCCGTTGCCTTTTAAAGTGCAATTTCTACTGTATTTAAGTTAAAGCTAAAATTGGTAAGAGTGCCTTTTCAACCTATAACTTTTAAAGTAAAAAAAAACATTTTAATTATATAAATACAATACAATGAATTCTTTATTAAAAAATGAGTTAAATCCATTTCAACTTAAATAATATATATAGCTCCGTTCAAAAATCAAACAATCACGTCAAGAGATTATTTGTGAGAATAACGATAAGCGTCATAATTACGGAAATACCGATGGTAAAATCATTAAGCACTGATTATATATCATCTAATTAGCGGCAGACACGTAATCGGTCTCGGAAAAATAGGGACCATAAAAACTATTAGTTTATTCTAGAATTATTTCATATAATACTTTGACGGTTATTTGCTATACAGATTGTGACTGTGATTATTTTCGGGTTGAATATTTTGATGATTTGGAACGTACTTTTGCACCGATTATAGCGACTCATTAAAGTATAGACGATAGGGTTTTTGTGTGACTGGCAGTCAGGCGTATAAATAAAGAAAACAATTAAACCGTGTACGTCCGAATCAGAACTTAATACGCCAATAAAAACATGTCGAATGGGAAAAAATGCACGAACGAAACTCTTGATTTTCCGCCTTGTTACATCGACGGTAAAAATATTACAGATTTATCTATCGATCTATTACCGACGTTTCCATGTGTTGAATGGGACGCTAATATGGCCTTTGTGGGGTTGCGTTAGCGGGTAAATTTGCTTGCTGATTGCAGCGATGATTTACGGTGTAAGGTTGATCGAATGAGTTAAGAATGATGTTTAAGAAAGAAGCGGCAGCGGGCAAAATATTCTTTTGTTCGGAGAATAAACTAATTTAAAATATCTACTTTGATTGTAGATCGAAAAGTTTTCTCTTACTTTTCTCTCGCAATAACAACGGTTTTCTCCTTTAATGTACAACATCTGAAGAAGGGATAACATTATTTTAAACGTTACGTCAGGGTCACACAACAGACTTAACTGTTGCACGAATGGGCAGGTCTGTAGTATCACGATCTCACAGAAGACCGGCGTCAAGTGAAAGTGATACACTAGTACGTTTCGTCTGGTGAGGTAGCCGGGGCCCACTTTATTAAAAGGTGGCATTTGCAACCCACCACGAAGCGGCGGTTATTATTTAACATCAGGTGAACCGCCAGCTCGCTCGCCACCGTCTCTTATAAAATAGAGATAATTATTATTATTAATTGCCACAATAAACATTTGATAGCTTGTACATTGCGATACATAGGGTGTGAATGGCCGATTCATTTGTTACGTTGGTATGTATAAAGATCATAATCGCTGCCGCTCTCGCTTCAGACGCAGCCTAGCCCGGCCTCGCATCGTGTTATTTGTCGACCTTCGGAAGATATCAATTGTTGCCGTTGCTGGCGGCGCTGAAGCGTGGAGATGCGTATCGGCCCGAGATAGATGCAGCGGAAACCACGAGATGCCGCGTCAGCCTCGCACCGAGTAGAACGTGGGGTTGGTGCCATTGTCAAATTGACGTGTGGTCATGAAACGCGCTCCGTATTACCAAACCGGACAGTCGTGAACATTTTACGCGCCCGTATTGCCAAACCGGACAGTCCTTCGCACCAGAAGCGAACCTATTGGCAACTGTACGCTTTATATCGCCATATTATAGTTGCCAGATCGTGGGTTCAATTCCCACACGGGACAACTATTTGTGCGCCCACAGATAGTTGTTTTGCATCTGTGTGTTTGTCCGCGTGAAACTTATGCTTGTAAAAATGTCCTTACAACACGGGATAGTGTTATCCTAAAGTGAGGGCAATGTTTTTTTAAAAATAAAAATTTAGCTGCCGGCAACTCGTCTGCTAAGTTTTTACTCTATGAGTGTGGCTCGCTCGGTGTTTTGATACTATTTGGCTCAGTGCGCAAGTACGTATACCTATAGAAAAGTTTCAAAGCGAATATTTCTTGTTCACTTGCGTCATTATTATAATGACAGATGAGATTTTCGTGATAGACAAGATAATCGGCTCACAAAACACACTGCTCTTTATTGTGTCAGCAATAAAGTACACAGTGCTAAATTATTAAGAATTCTGGGTATTAGACGTTCGGCATAGGTGTTATTTCAAGGGAGCAGAGTCGAGAATACGCGTATCGCTCGTCGCCTTGACATCTATATCTTTGGTACATATTAGTATTAAATACCTCGGCAAATATTGTCACTTTGACAGGGCCTTGAGAGTTTGACATAATGCGGTAAAAAGCGGGCAATAAATTTTTCGGTCTTAATATTTCTCTTGATCCATTAATAATGGTGTCATAAAAACCTGTATCGCGACGTAGATTTTTATCAAGTGCTGTTAATTACCACAATTATAGATAGGTGATTATATGAGATCCTTGAGAATGTTACCGGATCCAAAGAGGTTTTATTAAATTTAACGTAAATAGTGGGTTATTGTTTCAACTGCACTACTAGGCCGAACAGATTTGCTTGGTAAACAACATAATAATTTGTGAATTACTTTATTTTATCTGCCTCAAATGCAGCGTATTACTCGAATTGATTTCTTCATTTACTAAATTAAAAAATTAATTTTACTATGTAATGTTTAGTACATTACACAGTAATGTACCTTTAATTTATTTTTTAATCTAAAGAAGGTATTTTCATAATGATATGTTTTCAACCTTCCCTTATATTTTAATAGCCCAAATGGTATAGAACACGATTGTAGCAAACTTTCGACGGTTGTTCTGAAACCCATTTTACGCTAACGAAGGGACTCTTTTAAATAGGCTCTGTTCGTAGCAATGTTCCTTTAAAGCGAGTCTATAAAAGCCGTGTAAACACATACACCGTCCCATTCTAATAGTACACTCGACAACATAAAAAGTATTAGCCGAAACGAAATTTCGCCCGGGACGGAACCGCGAGTAATTATTGTCTTAATTCGGCCCTGCACTGACCGTCATTAGGACGACACCGCATGTCATAGGCGCGAGCGGTTTATAAATTTGGCGAGCAGGTAGAAAATTTGTTCAATTATTTATTCCTTTTGTTACCAAACGAGACATTAACCTATTTATTAGGGTTTCAAGTTATGATGTAATTTAAATGCAACTATGTTAGATTCTATATCTTTAAATTAACGTCGAAAAAATTGAGTTATGTAGTTTCCTATTAGCGTTTTTAATACTGTTAACAATACCATATCATGTGGATAATTTAAAACAACAACGTTTGTGAAACAAGACGTATGGATGCTTTGTCAAACCAGCCGCGTGCCTCTTGTGACTTGCACAGCGTCAAGGGTCCCTTCTTCTGAAGGGTTAAAGGGCAGCCCCAACAATTACCTACAATCATTACTATAGACAATTATCTCTTCGACCAGCGACCGCCACGGTTACAGCTTTTTATTGAAGCCTTTAATTACAGCCTCAGCCAACCCGTCGGTGGCTCTCGCAAATCGCCTTTCTAGTGCACACAAGATTTGCTCGTTACAGAGCTTTGGAATGTTTACAATAGCGCTCTCTACTGTAAACTGTTGTTTAAAAACTTTATTACCTTTGTCCTACTTCCTAGGCGCAAACGCTTTCGTTAAGCTAGTTTAGACCCCCAGGTAATATGTCTAGACATGAAGTTTCTTATATAATATTATGGCTTATGTTAAGCAGTGGACTAAAATAGGTTGAAATGATGATGATGATGATTATACTCTGATACACATACACCAGCACACACATCCAGAACAATAATCTGTTTTTCAAACAAGGCCAGTGGTCAAGCATTCAAAGATCTAGCGAGACCATCAGATTATTTTCTTCGTTTTGTAATAAATAATTGTATGATATTTTTTCTCATTTTAGTTCACAATATCACATCAATCATTCAATAAGGTTAGAATTGCCGGACGTGGTCAGTCTGAAATAATTCCATCTAACAAACTGTATCATCCTTGTGGGTACAAGAAAAATATAGGTACGTGTCTCAATTAAAATTCAAATGTCTTTATTCAATATAGAAGCACTACACTTATTGATCGTCTAAACCCACTGCCCTGGGAAGAACCGGCGAACGAAACTCAGCGGGAATGTCCCACCGTATTTTTTTACCATTATTTGAGAAGAAACTTGTTTACAATGTATCAACTGTCCACTCGAAATAGCCTGAATCAATTCATATCCAGGGTGTTACCATTTAAAAATGACCATAGCGCCTAGCTCACCGCCAACTACACCACCTGGCGATACCACCCCACCTACTTACGCCCGTTTACGTCATTACGGACTCAACTTCCGACGCGTATCTCGCTGAAAAATGTCCCAGCTCGCCCATTCCTCGCGTCGCATGCAAATAGTTCGGCGTTGCCGCTCGTAAATTCAGCGGCGTCTCCGGTGCTTTATCGGGCTGGCTTTGGTTCGACTCTGCTTCGCTTTCTTCCAGTGAACTCGCGATTGGAGAGCGACTGTCCTCGGTTTTGATTAGCAATAAAGGTCATTGCAAAGTCAAGCTTTAATATTCTACACCACATTGTTTCCTGCCGCTCATTCTCTGGACAGGGCTAGTTTAGAACCGGTGGTGGTTATTTGTCTTTCGATATGACCTTAAAATAAGCCTGTGTCGAATAAAGAAATTTTGATTTTGACTTTGAAAGTGACCGCTTATGTATTTAAGCTACCCATTTTAATCAAAAGACGTGTCCACGACCCCAAGAGTTAGACTGAGTTAGTCCTGTTCGTTTTTCATTAAAAGTCTAAAGTGACAGGTAGCTAAGCCGTATACGTGTGAAAGTAGTCTAGCAGGAGTATTAAAAATCTAAATTTAAAACAAACACTGTTCTCATAAACAGAGAATAGAATCCCTGAATAGCTAATATATTACCGCTGCAAAAGTCGTTTGTTATCTCACTTGACATTTGCAAGTCGACTCGGATACGTGCACTCAAAAAAAGTCGTCAAAATCAAACTTGGCATAAAGGTCAGCCGTCCATAATTGGTATCAGAATAAAAAAAGCCTTAACGTTCGAACGTACAAAGACGCATAAAGGGAAGAAGAGACCACCGATATTAATAAAAGAAACAACGCGAAGGGAGAAAGTGCGCCAATGCCAATAGACCGAAATTCAAATCCAATTCGCCCGCCCGACAATCCGTCGTCATAAATTTGTACAGGGCCCGATCACAAAAGAAGTGCTGAAAGACAAGAGGGCGAATAAAAAACGCATAATACGCCATTTTCCCCGTCACAAAGTGGAGTTCACGTTGGCGATCTGTCAAACTGGTCAAACATCAGCGAATTGGCGGGCTACCGTTATTAGCCGGCGAAATTTAAGTGGGCCCCCCCGCACGCGGACGGACCCGGGCGGCCGGTCGCTCCCGAACTCGGCAGCGGTAACCGCCAAAAGCAAAAAGACGTTCGCTCAGCTCCTACGGGCCGGGTTTTTCTCTTTTCCACGTCTATGGCACTGCATAGTTTGACGAGGCGACTTTCATTTCGACGCGGGGCAGGGGTAGGAGGGAGGGGGGCGAAAAAATGATAAATGTCGTGAATGATTGAGCCGGCTGGACGCTAGCGAGATTTCGGCCGGTACGCTTTGCATTTCATTCGGAGCGGCGCATCTATCGGAATTAAAATGCGGCGGAATTTATCGGCCGTTTAACGAGTTGTCACGACATAGGGCCGCTCATAAATATTCACGGCGAATGCTTTTACGGCCTATGAGCGGATTGACAGCATACGTCACGACTATCAATCAGCCGCTCGCGATCGGCGCGGCGCCGCGCGTAGCATTCACCGATGCCGTAGCCACTTCATTACTGCGATGCGCGAAATGAAAAACAAAAACTCGGAATTAAACGTCATTTGCATTTGACACACGCGGACGTGGCACTCGCTTTGACGTTGACACTAGGATTGGCGGGAAATTTTCTATCTGCGCTATGGCAGATAGCGATGTATTTTCATCTGAATAAATCATATCGGTAAATTAATACGGTTTGTTGGCGATTTTAATGCACACATCATGCATTTTGTAAATGACTATTCATTACATGCAAAGCAAGTTTTCAATCGTAATGATAAGTTGAGAATGTTATGCGTTGTTAATGTTTAGATATGAATTCTGTTCGAATGGTAATGCAGCGATTATAAGTTGTGAAATTGCATTTATTGTTAGTCTATTGCTGCAATTGCAAAGTGTGAATAAGTTTGAGGCAGACTATAGTTTGCTTATTGTTTGAGCGTTTGTTATAAGTTCAGCTTCTACCGTCGGTGTCACGAAATTATCACAGACATCAAAAATATATAAAGTGTACTACTATTGAAGTTGCGAGAAAGCGGTACAACTAATATATAATGGTGTTTCATAAAAAGTTCCTCGAAAGCTTAAATATATATAAAGGGAAACTGTGTTGTTCTTTCTTCAATATGTGATGATGATTTCGATTTAAGTCCAGGGGAGTATGTAAAACGAAGCACAAATGGTCCAGGCTAAGAAAATATCTAGATTGATTTTTTATTATTTTTTTTTATGTGAAAAGTTGCCAAGCGAGCAGACGGTTCACCTGATGTTAAGTGAATACCGCCACCCATGGACATCTGCTACAACCGAGGGTTGCAGATGCGTTGACAACCTTTTGAAAATTGGGGTTGGGTTGAAAAAATCAGAATCATGTAATCAAAGCACGTGCTTAAATGCGCGTATTGGCCTAGTGTTTCCTTTTTGTACTCCATAAACTGGGTACTGGTGAGAACGATCGGTAGTTTCTTGAGACTCTCAAACGTTCTTGGTTTTGATTAGTTAGTTCGTTTTGCCATGCCCGTGGACAATCGAATAATAGTGATGTCTCTCATTGGGTGGTTTTAAGTGAACCCTCCGTGGACCCCAATGTTCCGTTCAAACGGTATTTATGGCGCGTTCGTTGCAAACGCGAAAACCTTTCGGCCTGATTATATTCCTCGTTTTCGTGGCTCGTTCGTCATGCGAGTCGGCGTGTTGCCGCGCCGATATCAGCGCCAGATAATTTCGAGGAACCGCCTCCGTGCCACGGGGCGTAAAAAGAGCAGTAGGTGGACTATAAAATATTGTTTCGTTGGAGCAATTAAAAGCGCGCGTCTCCACTACGGGCGCCCGCGGCGATTTGGCGAATGAAGGAGGGTGAAAAAAAGGCAACTAAATTTATGGAGCACTTCCTTCTTGTCTATGAAAAATGGCTCATGCATTGCGGAATGGCGCTTTTAAAAATTATATAAAATTGCGACCGAACAAAGCGCTAATGTATGGTAGTATTAATAGTGTTAATGAAATTATGGGCTAATTTTGGTCTCTAATCTTTATGTATATAATTTTTATGTGTGTGTTAATCCACTATTTATTAGGTAATTTAAAATGTTATACATAATACTGCTGGCTGCTTTATAACTAATCTCCCTTGGTGGTAAAGTGTTTACAATTAAGTTGTGAAGCCAATTCTTTAGTCAAAGACTAATAACTCTCTCCTTGAAGACTCCCATCTCTTAATCGGAGCATTCCTAGCAATTACTGATCACAATCAACTTTCACATGTACACTTCTTTTTAAATCCAAAGACATAAATCAAAAGCGCAGTCATGACAGCCAAATGACGTATAACTATGGGAGAATCCAAGAAATGCGATCCGGCCGTAGCGTGGCGGGCAATCAAGTGGCCGAATATGTATTTCGCGAATAATACAATTCGAAATTTCTGAAATCCCCACAAAAGAATACACGTATCTCCCGCCATTCCGAACGAGGCTACAAGGCGCGGCGTCCTGCAGTAAAGAGCCCCGACGCCGCCATTTTGGCCTCGAGTTCGTTCGAATGCAATCTAGATAATTATTTTAATTTAGCTCAACCTCGTATTTATCATTGCTCCACTATCGAAATTTCTAGTTAATTTTAGATAACAGCGCTTTGGGGCTACCGCTGTTGGACAGTCGGTAATGAGTAGACTAACTTTGGCATTGATTATTG